TCTCTCTCTCTCTCTCTCTCTCTCTCTCTTTCTCTTTCTCTTTCTTTCTTTCTTCTTTCACATTCTTTACCGGCGCAGAAGTACCTACTTGGAGACACCCATGTACATGTCTAAGACCAGTCAGGCTGGCCTGACTCTTGGACACCCTGAGAAATCTTCTGTCGTGGTCTCAAATACGTCTGTTCCCGCAATAAAAGGTGAGTTTTTCACACACAATTTCCTGCTTTTTAGAGACTCAAAGTGGAGCTTTTTATGGATCACAGGACATCTCAATGTGTCTTTCACTACATAAAAACAGCAATGCAATGAATTGTTGGCTGAATTCATCTGGAATATGCATTGGTAGGTCTAAACCCAAGAAGCTGAACTCTCAGAGGCTTTAAGACTAGCAGATTTACCTTCCCTTTGAACTGACTTTAAGTTTGGAGTTACCAGCTGCAGTTGAGCTGCAGAGAAGGTCCTGTCAGTCCCAACAGGGACACTGTTCCCTGACCTACCAGTTATTTCTGTAGAGATTCTCCTGTGCCTCAACATCACACACAGGTCTTCCTTGATGCTTATCTACACATGCTTCGTTCCCCTGCATCCTCTCTCTGTGGGAAGAACTATGCACCTTTGATCTGTTGTATCAGAAAATCCACCTTGCACTTGCAGGTTGAGCTTCCAAGAGGTCACCCAGCGCTGAGGAGATAACTCAGCCGACGTACACATGGGAGAAGGCCCCTGGAAATCTTTTAATAAACTTGTCCAACACTAACTAGCAAATCGTCATTGAGCTAGAACAGGAGCATTTGCAAAAGGAAGCAGAAGAAGGGAGTTTCTAAAGCATTCAGTGTCACCCCCTCTGCTAGGAACCCTCGACTCCCTGCCACAGGGATGCACAGTGCAGCCCTCCACTCTTCCAAGCAGATGGCAAATCCAATGCATGGGAAATATCTCCCTAGAGGTGGTCTTGTCCAGGCTTCTTCCTATTCARTCTTTCTCATGTTCCTTCATACGCTGCTGCTGTTTTTCTCTCTACCTGCTAACATTCAGGGGAATCGCTGGAGAAGAATTTCCCTTAGATGACATTTTAATTGTGTCAAGGCACAAAATAGTGAACAGCTGGCGAATTCACATGCAGATTTTAAAAGCCAGCAGCAAACACATCTCGARCGCTGTTCTTTACAAAGCGTGATGCCATCAGGTGCTCGGCCACCCCAGGTGATGAAGCAGCACCAACACGAGGAGAAGCACATGTTGGCCCAGGAGTCTGGAAGCTCTTTCTGGGAAAGGCTTTTGAAGCCAGAGAAAGCAGACCTTCTCTTGGCTCTTCATTCAAGTACCTGATAGGCTTTTAGAAGCAGGACTGAGCTCAGCAGTCCACAGAGCAACTCAAGCCAAGACACCGAGCAAGTGATGCCCGTGAGTTTGGAGAACACTGAGTTCCTGTCAGCTCTCCTCAGCTGGCTGCTAGTTACCAAATAATAGAAGACTGGCATCTAAAGTGAGGGGCTCCCCAGCCTTAGCTAGAAGGTAAGTTATCTTCATTTACCACAGGAAAAGGCTACAACAAGCAGGTCACTCTTGTATATGCAAAATCAAGTATTGCAAAAGAAAGCCTGCAGTTGTTATMCTTGGGATCAGAAATAAAGCACTTAGCTCTGGAGATCAAGGCAGTCACTTCACCAAAGTCCRTATCTCCACCCACTGCCCTAGAAGTTTATTTTTTTTCTACTTTTTGTTTTCCTGCCTAGAAATGTTTTGGATAACATTTAAAAGGAACAACCCTTGGAAGAGAATTATTTATGCTTTTGCAAGAAGAAACTGATTTTCAGTGCCTTTGGGGAATATTAAATAATTCAGCATCCTATATAATGTTTAGGTGAAAAAAACATGGAGATTATCTGAGAGGCTCAGAAGAACAAGGACTGAAGCTGTCTCAGTGACAGTTTTTGTCCTGCTAGGTACTGTAACTTGTGAGCTAACGTGCTTGAGAAGCAAGCCAGGCATCCCTGTCAGTTAAAGGAAACAACAGCCTCGTATGTAYTTGGCATCAAGGTGTGTGGTCAGGAGCAGACAAGTGGAAACTGCCACCCATGAAGGAGTTAATGCATTAATCAGGTAACACATTAGAGCGGATTACTTTAATAGAACTCACGTAGCAGCCTGCACTAATAAGCATGCACAAATACAGTACTGCACATAAGCTGCAAACCATCCAGCTTCCTACAAGCAACACATTTAATGAGGGATAATCGTTTCGGTCACATCTGATGGCTTGAGATGTGCCCGAGTCTAGATTAGCTGCTCTACCCTTCYGAGTCCAGCTGCACGGAGCAAGGAAAGCTGAGTCCAGACAGGTTATTACACCTCACACCTGCTTCTGCAACCACAAAACCGAGCTTGTGTGAGCACAGAGACTGCAGACAAGGCGCTGGAACAGCACACAGCAGTTAGAGCAGCAGAGCGAGCCCAGAACCACTCACTGGGAAGTAAGAGCACCGACAGCTCTAACTAGGAGCCAGCAGTTGGACATCTACTGAACTTCTGATCAGTTCTGTTAATACAGAAAATCCAAACTCTCAACACCAACAGAATAGTACACGTAGACAGGAAAAAAATGGGAGAATTCAGAAACTGGCAGTTCATCTGGACCACGGTGACCAGCCTCCCCTCAGGCCCCTACACTGGMAATGCTTTATGCTGCATGATGTTCTCAACGCAGACATCAGGAGGTGAACTGGACACCCTGTGCTGGATATACTGTGTGTATGAATGACAGCATGTCCTTATTATGTTTACGTGGTCCGTGGAAGGTGGCAACTGGGACTAGGCTGTCCGAGCTAGAACTGTTGCTCTACTCCRCAGCCCACGTTGTAGGAGTAGAAGCTAAAAAAGGTTGTTGGCCAGGTACGTCTTACAGCGTGACACGGCTGGATAGTGAACTCAAATAGTTTAGCTACCAACTGCAAAAGTCAGATCTACTCATGACCTGTTGRTTCATGAGCAATTCCCCTGGCAGATACAGTACTTCAACAACTCATCGCTTCAACATCATTCCCCTCAAGGCCTAACCTTCCTAGATTCAACAGGGAACACGCTTGCCAGGAACGAGGCAAGAGTTGGCCCTGGCTGTCTCTAAGGCACGTGGCCTCCTGCACAGGGCTTCTGGTTCTCCAGACACTGAGGGTTTTGAGAAGCACTAACTGAGGCAACGGAGCCCGAGCAACGGGGAGCAACACACCTGGTTGCGATGGGCCTGCTGCGATGGTCGATCTCTATGCACGTGGCTGTCTCTTGTCACTGCAGATGTCCCGGAATCTATGTGAACGGATCCCACTGGGGTAGGCTGGAAAACAAGGTGMTCATTACATTGAAGCCAATGTCCAAGATGCCACTCTCTCTACACCCAGGCATGCGCAAGCAGAACTTGTCAGGTTAGTTGACATTGTGCAGAAAATAGAAGGACACACCCAAAACACCGCTTCAACGTACTGACCCCAACCAAGATAATCATAGCAAGCGCTATAACAACCTCGAGGTTTGATGGGTCGTTGGACTCTTAGCATCTGGCAGAAAGTTRAATTCAAAAGAATACAGTTAAGTATCTGAGATCACCGTCAATGGGTCTTAAAGAAGACAATCACAGCTGCAAACACACAGATTTCTTCTTGTCTCATTGTCTTCCTTCTTGCTACCCTTGCCCAGAAACAGGATGTGCTAAAACTGAAGCCTTGTCTGCTCTATTCTCACCTAAGCCGTAATCTCTGCTCACAACATCCCAATCTCCATAGCAACCACTGCAGTTGTCAGCAATCGCAGGCTTGTCCTACAACAGGCTTTCTATCAATTGCCTTTGTAATTAAACAACAACGAGGTGAAGAATGATGATTTGCAAAGGGAAGGATTGCTTGTTAAAATGCACTGGTTAGGGTAAAGTAAACACTGGTAATGTTACATATCGCTCACATACTAAATCACTGGCGACTGCACCAAGTTTAGCACCAAAGAYGCTTGGCCTGGTACCAGTGACAATTATTTACAGACTCCTTTGTCATGGCTGGTGTGYAGTGCTGTGCTATTAGCGTGAAGGCCGTCACCAGAATGACACAAACACAAGCGACAGGCCAGGCATCGTGGACACAAATCACAGAGGCGGCCAGCAGAAGAGCTTCAGACAGCTCTCTCAGATTTCCCCATGACAGCTCTCCTGGCCAAGGTCTTCCTAAATATAAATGGCTTCTGACAACAGAAGCAACACATCAAGATCACATGYTCCATCTCGTCTCATGGAACTGCTAAATGGAGCTTGGATCCTCCCAGATTTCCTGGCCATGCACTTTATTTATAGGTGGCAGAGCCTCTGGAGTGGGGATAGTTTGTGCTCAGAATGGTTTTGCCGTTACTATTTGCTGATTATCCCTCCAAGTTGTGCTAAGATCTCTTGTGCTAACTGTTTTTTGTATGTGAACTTGACTATTAAGAGCGATCTTCCATCATTCAGTATGGAGCTAGCATTTATGCTCTTGTGTTATAAAATGTCTTCAGACAGTGATTATAAAGGTCTCAAATCCTATGCTAGATGAGAGGAAGTTAAATCTCATCCTGTTCTCTGTCACAGCTGGTAAAATAACGTTTGGGTGCTCCACCAAAGCAAGCTCAATAGAGGTGACAAGGAGCCTTCTGCCACTTGGGGAAATGTCAAGGCACTGTGAGAACCCCCTGAATACAACACCAGGACATCTCACTAACGAAGAGCCTACGTTAGCTAAATAACAGAAGCAAATGATTAGACCCCTGGCTCRTTGGCATTAAACAGCATTGCTGGGAGCAAAGAGCCAGGTGGCCAGCAGCAGGACGTGGAAGGCAAGGCACGGCGTTTCTGCAAGAACTACTTACAATTGGCCTGCCAACCCAGTCGTAGACGTAGTCGAAGGTGTAGCCTTTCTTTTCAAACAGCTCGGTGAAGATGGTGCGCAAGTAATCGTAGTCTGGTCTCTCAAAGAAGTCTAATCGCCGAACGTAACGGAGATATGTGGCCATCTCCTCTGTTGGAAAAGAAGGAGAAAAGAAGCAGCCTCAGGTCAGTGTAAGGCACAGGTGACACATGCTAGAAAACCGTAGCTTCACACTGGAAACAYTTAGCTTTTTAAATAACTCCAAAAAGACCTACCCACAGCAATGGTCAAGACTTGCTCTTCAGCACTTAAATTYTGACCAGAAGCCAGGTCCCCCAGTGCTGCCAATTGTCCAGGTTCCACTAAGTTCAGCTGAGCCAGGCAAATTTATGTCARCAGCGAATACCCAACAAGTTTTTACCCTTCTAAGAGACCTACCTGACACTCTCTTATTGCTACATGAATCTCACTGAGTCTCATGAATCTCTGTGAGTTCTCCTCTGCYTTGCCCAAAGCCTGCTTTAATCTGCACCTTCTTAGCTGCTGTAAAACAAACACTGGAACAGGCTGCCCAGGGAAGCGGTGGAGTCACYGTCCCGGGCAGTGTTCAAGAAGCGTGTGGATGAGGCACTGAGGGACACGGTTTAGCAGGCATGCTAAACCTGGTGGTGATGGGTTTACAGTTGGACTTGATGATTTTGAAGGTCTTTTCCAACCATAGTGATTGTATGAACAAGGCTCGTGCTGCATCATGGAGCGTCACACGGAGAAGTGTCTGGGCTTCCAGTGCTACTCCTGGCTTTTCTTTAGAATGCACCGGTTTTGGTAATGGCCCACACCCATCAATCCAAATGCTTCTCAAAGCGGGAAGGTCCATATCTGCTCCGCACAACTGCTGTTCCACCTTGGACCTGAATCCAAGGCCAACCGTATAACAAATGCCAATTTGCTGAGCCAACCACCAGGATGCTGCTGTGTATGTGTTTCTGCCCTCACGGACACTTCAAACAGCCACAGTGATTTCACTTGAATTCTGTGGACAAACACAACCCCAACTGGAGAAAGAAAGTCGGAGAGGTTCTTGGTGTGCATGTTGTTCATTGTGAAGGTAATGACCTGCGGGCATGTGCATTTCCTGCTCCTTTTCAGCTCTCCCTTGGCTCATATCTGCCAAGGCAGAACTCAGGTTATGTTTGAGGTCATTAGGAGGTGTGAGCCTGGGTAGTGCAATAATGATGATGCATCAGCATAGTTTTTGCCCTTAACTGACAGAAGTAAGGACAGTATTGCTTAGTGACACTGGACTTTTCCAATGGCTCACAGTTCGTAGGTCACATTGAGGAAGGGAAAAAAAAAACAAGAGAAAAAAAGGCAGTGAGGAAAGGTAATTCCACCTTACCTTCCTGCTGTAATCTCTGAAAAGTGGAAGATCAAGGATTTCAGGCCAGCAAGCAAAGGAAAGAACTTGTTTATCTGCCTTCAGCACAGGCCTGCACAGGTAACACAGCTCTCAGGAAGGAGTAGTGGGGAAAGGAAATGTGAAAGCGAGCAAAAGACGAGAAGATCCATTCAATGACAGGACAGTTGTCCTGTTCTGCTTCAAAGTAGGTGTTTTTTGGATGCAATCCCCAACAGTTATGCTGGACCTGCAACGATCCCACCAGGACTCACCTGGAAAGTTCTCACAGAGAACTTCAACCGGAGTGTTTCTCTTTGTGTCCCCAATCTTCTGATACCTCTCTTTCAAGGTGTCAGCCTGTAGGGAACAAAGACAAAACATAATTGTGGAGAAAGAGTTAGAACACAAGATACATGGCATGCTGCATGGGGAGGAAAAAGAAAGGCATTCAGTACTGATTCTGGGGGGTATCAAATGATGCTACTTTTAACAATATTCCATCTTAAGGCTGTATTACTAAGAATACTCTACCAGCCTGTTGCAATTCTCACTACATGTTTTACATGCTATCAGCATAGAATATCCAGTAGCACGCTCAATATATCTACAATACTTGAGAGAAATTAAACGTGCTGCTGTTTTGCAAGGGTTACCTTACCAGCACCAACGTGCAGGGAGCTTTTATGGGGCAAGAAAATGAAGCTGYATTTATTATCATGGCATATGAGTATTCTAATATGCTAGTACAGAATAGTCATAAGATTAGAGTCATTGGCCAACCACTGCACCTTTGCAAGCAATTGTAAAATGAGATAATTTTCATGTAATTCAGTTTAATAGATAGCTGCAATTGGGGCATGCGGAGTTTTTGCTCTAGTGCATGCAACAGAACAGCACAACTAGTCCACATCAGAGTCACGCTTCTCCCGACTCCGATGCTCCTGTAAAATGAGTCTCTCACTCCCAAAGTGTCTCCCATCCAGACAACACTGATTAAACATTTGGCCATCCCCAAAAATGAAGCAATTTTCAGCTACAGATTGCCAACTGAAATCCCTCCTGGACAAGAGAACGCTGCTCCAATTGGTATCTCAAGCGCAGGTTTTTATTGCCTCTATTTCAGATTATTCCAGTTAGTCCTGCAGGCAGCATTACAAGATGTTTTCTCAGGGCTTTACACTGATAGGAAGCACCAAGGGCAGAAGCAGAAGACGTTTGGAAGAGTGAAGATCCTCTTATCTCTTCCCTCGATGCAACTCCAAAAGTGAACACAGCAGCTCAATCACCAGGCAAATGATGGAGAAGCGCAGATGCAGCCTGCAGCAGGCTCAGAGCCAGCGCATGACTTACTAGCAGTTAATTCAGCTGGTGGACATTAGCTTTGGTGGCCATAACTCAACTGCTCACACTCATACCCACTGTGTGTGACATTTCATAAACTTATAACCCAGAATCAGGCACTGAATGGACAAGCATGTCTGGAGGGAAGCCAAGCTTAATACTAGGAAAATATTCAGAAAGAAACCCACATTTTTTCATGCTAAATTCCTTCTGTGCATCTAAGCCCACCAAGCCGCTCCCACCAGAAACGTGCTCACAGATGGGGCTGGGCAGCCGTGTGCCATAGCTGGCATTTCCTGAGCAACTGTTGTGGTCCAGCTGCAGGCAGGTTCACGGCGCAGCGATGCTGAAGCTTAGGCTTAAGGACACAAAAGGAGTGGCTCCTACTTGGATTTTGTGAGCTTTCCTTCTCCTTCCTTTCCTTTGTCAGCTTTTCCTTCTCTTTGGGCAGAGACCAAGACTGAAAAGTTTCAAAGGGCAAAATCTGTAAGCAACACCTACCTTCAATCCTTGCCAGGGCAGGCTGCCTCGGAGGAAATACATGAACATATGGCCAAGGGCCTCCAGATCGTCCCGACGACTTTGCTCTGCAACAGAAGAGGCCACCAATTACCGCGGCCGCCGCGCAAACGGATGGTCCGATCRGTAGCCAGCCTTATTTCCAGGATAAAGCACTTCAGGAGAGTGCTGTCGCTGGCTGTAGCTCTGACCTCGTGCAAATGCATCTAAAACTGGCTGCTACAAACATAAAACGCATATATCAAAGATGAGCTGGAGGAGAGGTGGCAATATAGGAACTGTGAGGTAGATTCAGGAAGGGCTACGCAGCATTAGGCAGCTGCTTTGCAAGAGATGCCAGTGTCAGTAGCTTTGGAAGGCAGCAGCTCCCCAGGGAGGACTGCCAGCGCCCGCGGCACGACGGTGCTGCCGCGCGGGAGGATTTTATTCCCCCTGCRAGGCGCAGGAAGCGGCAGGCGCCACGTTGGGAGCGGGGAGCTGCCACGCTGCACCACGCCAGCCCTCTTCCAGGCACTTCTGCAGCTCAGCGCAGCGGAACACATTAAAAACAGCCCCTTTTAGCGCAGCTTTTCCTTGGAAAACACTTGCTGCCGTTGCCAGGCAGATGTTATGATTATCAAGGAGTGGGGGGGGGAAGGAAGAAAGTGCCTGGACTCAAGCCAACGGAAAAAGGATCCTTGAAATAATCCACCAAAATGTAGTCCTATTCTACCAAAAAAGTCCCGAGGGGTCGTGCAAGAGAGGACGAGGCACCTGGGGCACCCTGTGGGTTTGCTGTGGGGTGCCAGGGTACATGTCCTGGCAGCAAGGGGAAACCACTGCTCGCTGAAGGACCCTTGCACAAGGGGTCTTTAACAGATCCCCGGCGGCACGGGCACCCCAGGAGCACCATTTTGCCTCCTCTGGCACTATTGCCCAAATCCCCACCTGCAGGCAGATAGCGCACTGGGAACCCACAGTGCTGGGAAAATCTAGTCGGGCAGCCCCTGTGCCCAAACAAGCCAGGCGAGAGCCATCCCTGGCGCTGCATAATTTGCAGGAGGGGAAAAAAGGCAGCGTTTCTGCCCAGCGTGATGCTCCTTCCAAATTAGCAGCTAATGTGACTCTCAAAACAGTCTGGAGGTAGAGAACACTCAACAGAAGGGAATTAGGATGACAGCTCCTGCAYGTTGCAGTGATACAGCTGTTAAAGAAAAAGGAGGATGAACTCAGTATTTTGGTGCAATGATGTAGATAAGCTTCTTGGGAAGCTAGTTGAGAGCACTTGTCTTTTGGGAAAATTATAACCCAACTCCCTTGCTTTTTCCAGTCCTGAAAAGAGGAGGGCAGATCAGTCTGCAAGCAAAAAAACACAGACAGAACTACAGGTCTTGGCTTGGCACCTGCCTTTTCACAGCGAAGGGGCCAGCTACACCTAGACTGGCCTCCCCAGCAAAGCACCAGTACCATGGAAAAGCACCAGTACCATGGAAGACATCAGGGCAGAGCCCAGCGGTCCCTTCTCAAATGCACCTTTGTCCTGGCTACTCTTCTCCATGTTGGGCCCATGTCATCCCAGCTGAAGGAAATCTGCCAACGCGGTCATGCCTGTGGCTCTTCGGTGGGGAACATAAAGGTTACTCACCAGTAGGTGGTGGCAGTGCAGTGTCCCTTGGATATTCCCACCCCTCCCAACACATCACTGACACTTTTCTTCCAAACCTTCCTAGAGACCTGTTCCCACTTCAGCTGTTCCTTTCCTTCATCCCTTCCTGACGCTTCCTAAGGTTTTCCAAAAATATACATGGGCTCCATCCCTTCTTCTCCAAAGAGAGAGCCTCTAACAGACCCTAAAGCCCTGAAATCTCTYGGTCTTATAGCTGGGAGTCTACACAAAGAACACTCCTACTACTCCTGTGACTTTAAGCAACTATAAACATTTAATAAAGCGTTTTTTTTTTTTTGTCTTTTAGCCAAGAAATGTAATTTTCTAGCATGAGAGTGGGATGCAAGGCAGTGAGGGGAGGAAATGGAGGRCTGGAGTTAAAAAGTAGCTAAACCGTTAAGGAAAAGCATCCATCACTTTCACCCAGCAATTATCAGCTCAGGGAACATTCATGTGTAACACACAAAACTGGAAGGTCCCGGTGCACAGAGCTGTGCTATCAAAAGCTGTTCGGTCACCATTTGGTCTAGCAGCTACTGCTTGCCTGTTTGCCTTTTATTCAGGACATGGTTACTAATAGTTATCGAATTCCTAATAAAAATTATATTGGTGAGGCTTCCCGTTCCAACAGTTGAGCTCTCTCAACTCCTCCTCCAAGAAGAAACAAAGGAGCCTCACCACTGTGGAGGGATTCCCCACCCGGAACACGTCACAAGCAACGTGAAGGACACGAGACAGCTACAAGCCAAGCTACAGCCAGAGCTCCCTGGCACAGAGCAGAGCAAGCTTGCGTCAACCAAACAGACCTTTGCCGAGATGAGTGTTGATGGACATGTATCTTGCTGTTCCAGTTAAGCTCTTGTGTTCCCTGTAAGGGATGTGTTTTTTGGTTTCGGGATCAATGTACTCCTTCGCCAATCCAAAGTCTATGATGTGAATGACGTGCTCTTTCTTATTGCCTTGCCGGCCAATAAGGAAGTTCTCTGGCTTGACATCTCGGTAGATGAGGTTCTTTGAATGCACATATTCCATCCGAGATATCTGCAAAATTACGAGGGAAGAGTTATTCACAAACAGACGCCCTCGCTGACGGTGCAGTGAGGCTTTGCTAGTCCATCACAGAGCCTCCTCCAGCTGCTCCGTGCTGGCCAACTCTTACGGTATTCTCTGAGAAACGCAACGACGGTTGGAGCAAACGGAGGCAGAAGTTGCAACCTGAGCTTTGTCATATGCCCCCATACAGAGCTGGAAGGGGAGTCTGTCATCCCCTCACCCTTCTCCAGCTCCCACACCGGGCTCCCTTCACTTGAGCTGGAAGAAGTACGGAAAGGCTGTTTTTGAAATGTTACCAGCAGAACATAGTTCCTGGAAGGATGCCAYGGAGAATTGCTGCAGCCTTTTTAGTATTGATTTTAAACATACTAAACCGGTTACCAAGAGCTCTTCCCTTGCCCACAGCCTTCCCTTGTTGCTCTGTGTCTCACCACCTTCCTCCCTCAGCCCATATGTTATCTTAGACATGCCAGATTCTTCATGGAGGGGGATTTTGGGCGGGCGGAAGCCTTATGGTCCTCGATACCGATGAGAAACAATAACAATGATCATCAGTTGTCAACTAGAAATCGCAGGAATATTTTGTCAGACCAAMTTTATTCTGGGGCACCTGCGAGAAGGGACACGGAGGGGCAGGAGCCTCTGCTCTGAGGTCATGAACAGCTCTTTCCCCTCTGTCCTTGCACCTCATTCAGCTGCTCAGCCCTTATGKTCTTTTTCAAAACACACTCGCAGCTGGTAAAGTTAGTGCAAGTTGGCAAGAACTTCTCATTTGTTTGAGTACCTTATTAGATGATTCCAACTGAAAGTAATTAACGATTTCATTTATTACCTTTTTATTTCATTTTTAATGCTTTAATTTACAACATGTCAATTCCCGTTTATGGCTGCCTAGGTCCATGGCTGCCCTACACGCAGTAGGAAACACTTCTTTTTCTGGCAAGCAGCTCTTTCACAAAGGCTATTAAATCTACCCACCTGCATTCAGGCTTTTAACATTACAAAAACTATAGGAAAGCCCTCACAGACTCCAGATTTTATATTGATGATTTTCAATCCATACAGGTTACTGCTGCACCATTGTAGAGGACGATGGAGCAGAGATTTTCCAACGAAGAGCATGTTGGAARGAAACAATACACTGTTTATCCTAGCGGATAATGGGATGACCCACTATGGAGGCCAAAAAAAACCCTCCATTGATCAGAAAAACAGCAAGTCGACAAGTTGCTCTCAACACAAATGAGGGTTTCGTGCTCTTGCAGCTCTGTGCTGCTTATGCAGCAGCAGGAAYCTAGCTCCAGTCCCTGGTAGGTCACACATGGAGTAGTTCATAGGCCAAAGAGGAGTAGTCCAAACCATCTGTAACCTTCCTGGGGCTGGCCGGGGTGAAGCACATGTGCTTCTGGACCACTAGCAGGTGACACCATATTAAGCTAGGGCTACAGAGGGAGGGCAGGAGATAGGAAAACTGGTCTGCAGCTGCCTCGAGGATGGCAAATAAGTCAGTACAAAGGCTCTTCAAAGCAGCTGACAGCACGGGCGGCAGTTTCCCTCCCCTCTCGTTTCAAGCAGTGATTTATTTCCTTCCATGCCTTGAGAAAATGGCCTTCCTGGCGAAGGAAAGCCATATTTTCTCATCAGTTACAGGCCGGAGCGGAGCAGGCCAGATGCCACACGCTTTGGCCGTCTGTCCGGCGCTGAATCAGCTGCGGGACGCGCTGACGGATGGGAAGACAACGCAAGGTGAGATGCAACCCTCGCACACGGCACAAAGGCTTTCCCAGCCTCTCCGCACACACCAAGCTTTCAAACAAAGCCTGCCTGGCTTATTTGACAATTAAACAGATGCGTGATTGTGCCAACAGCAACTACACACCTGTGAGAAAAGCACCACTTCTCTTGCCGTCTGGTGGCAAGTCTCTGAGACGACGCGGAGCCTGGAGGGCTGAGGCGCTGGAGGGAGCACCAGGCACGGGCAGCGTTCGGAGACCTTCGTGTCCCTTTTCCCTTCCTTCCACGCGGCCGAGCCGCTCCCCGAGGCGCTGCCTGGGCGCCGCAGAGACGTCTCCCTGCAGCGGCCTCCTCGCTTTGCTCGCGCTCACGGGGCGCGCGCCCTGCTCGCGTCTCCTGGTCTGGCCGGCGAGGGGAACCTGGTGGCTACAGATGCTCCAGCTCCTTTCCAGCTGGCAAAGAAGCACCCGGCTCCAGGAGAGCGCCGTGCCAGGGCAGAAGGCCAGGGCAGAAGGCAGGACACCGCTGGTTCCCACTCCGGAGACGCGCTGGGTGCTCGGGCTGGGGGCCAGAGGGTGGCTGCTCAACCACGGGCTCTTCTGCCCACACATTAATTCTTCTGCAGACCCTATGAGGAGCTTGCGCTCGCCGCTGCGACCAGTGCTATGCTGGGAGACAGCGACTGAAGCAGCGTTATCATCTGCTCCATTATCCTGGCAACAATAAGGATAGACCAAGGCATTCTAGCATCGGGCACAGGAGCACTAGCAGTGGTGCCTGGGAGATACTATTGGCAAATTAAAGCACAATTTCCATGGCCACGGCTGGCTGAGTTACTCAGGGGTTCGTCTGCAGAGCCACGGACCTCAATTTTGGATGTCAGGAGGACACCTGGGGAGGAGATGGGAAGAGCATGGCCTGGCACACCACAGGAACACGGGTGCTCGTCCTTTTCAGCCTTCCCTCCTAAGGAAAACAGCGATGGATTGGGAAAGGAAGAGTTTACTGCCTGGAAAAASAGCCAAAGGAGAGTCTAGAGCCAGCTGAGAAATCACAGGACATYTATGACAATTAATCAGATGCTAAAGAAATCCATGGGTTTTTTCCTACCATTTCCTGTCAAGGAAATAATAAACCAAACCTTTTCTCCAAAAAAGTTATATCCCATGGACCTGATCTCGCTGGCAACCCTGTCTCCAAGCACCTCTCATAAATCTGAACTCTTCACTCTCACAATTGTCAGGCCTGAACGCAGATCAGATGAGCAGGGATGACAAATCCTTCCCATGGAAAGGCTGTCTTGGTGGCTCTTACACAAGATGGTCACGGGTGGTGACCGAGGCAAACGTTTCGGGGTGACTTGGTCCCGGTCACCRCCAGAGACCGAGCACTTGCACAGTGCCTGACTCAACAGCTTGGCTTCGACAACAGGCGCTGGCAGCAGGGGAAATGACGGCGCTCACGACAAACTCGAGCTGTCAGCGCCGCGTTGCACACGTTGGACCCAGCCCAGCGTGAAAAACGGGGAGAGAGCTGAAACRTTTCCGCTGGAGAAGGAAAAGCAGGAGGCTGTTTCTCCATACCGACTTGCCCAGCGGTGTACACRAAGTGCGAAGCGCCGCATTAGACTAAGGAAAAGAGCCCCTCTGAATGCAGCAGGTTGTATTTGATAACCGAGCGCCACAGCTCTGAGCACAAGGCATTCTTACCAGAAAAACACGCCCGTCGAGTGACAAGCCCGAAGGCTGCGTGCCTCATCCKCCCACGGAGACAGACTTTCTTACTGTGTCATCTAATTTGAAGATACTCCAAAACGGGTTCTCCCTCCTCCTTGAACATTCGTCACCACTGAGGCTCCTTCTCCCTCGGCCAAGGAGGGAAAACTGAATGTGTAGGTTCTCCCCAAAACACATGCTACACTTAGAAATATATATATTTGTTTCTCCTAACATCTGTGGAGTTCAAGRGTCTACCTCAGCATTAAGGTCCTGCGACCTATTAAGGTAAATAAAAATAGCCAAGCGCGCTTGCTTTTAAGARAAACAGCTTTTGGGGATGTCTGCTGCTGCACAAAAGGGTAAATTAAGCATCATAGCAAGGTGGACACACTGGTTATGTCCCACTAGCTGAGGAGCGGCAGGTCTTTTTGGGGAAAAAGCCAAAAAGACTAAAAAGATCAAAAAAAGCCAAAAGATCAGTGCAGGGAAGAAGAGCCTGCTCGCTTCCTCCTGCCCTGCTGCTGGTTTTGCCATTCTGCGCGCATGGAAACATCTACAGCAGGTCTCACCATCCTCTTCCTCCAGAGAGGGTCAAAAACAACAGAAAAAAAAAAAAAAAAACCCAAACACTTCGTGGATGTCTGTCCATCCATTCATCCATCCATAAAACATGACCATCCATAAGAACACTTTATGGATATCCATCAAATCTGTCCCCTTTGATGGACAATTTTCTTCTTCTCTGCATCTCATATATGGAAGGGCAGCACAATAATTACTGTTTTGGTGCAGGAAATAAGATAAATCCAAGCTTTCCCCAAAACCTTGTGGTTTTAGCAAAGGGTTCTCATTCCAGCTGTGCTGTAAGAGCCAATCCCTTTGAAAACCAGGCTGCCGAAGGCCAGCTGAGCCCTTTTCCCAGGAAACCTCCTGGGAGTGGGGACGAGGCATCGCTAAAGATGCTAAATCTGTCTCTTTTAACGCACGCGCTCCAAGCTGGCACCTCATTTACTCTTCCCCAAAAGATCAGCAAGGTCCTAAAACATCTCATGTGCAACGGAGAAGTGCTGCCTATGGAGGATATCAACTCCATTTGCGATTGCCGTTGCTGTCTCCGCACACCACCCACTCCCTGGCAAGCTGGCAAGAGCTACGCATCTGTTTTCCAAAAGAGGTATCGCTGCCTGCATCTTGGGATCCAGCTCACCACAGAGGATGCTGGAGAAGACCCTCCAAGCAGAGCCCAACTGCAACGCAAGGCGCCGTATCAGTCTTTATCTCCCTAGCAGACTTGATAAAACTACTACTACAAGATGGGGCCATTTAGTTAACACCACAGTAGATCGAAGTCTGTCAAATTCACTGCCTGGAGTTCTTACCACTCAGTTTTGCCCTATATTATACGCAGGCACCTAAATGTGCATCTCCATGGGTTTCCTGCTCCCACTGTTTATGAGAGACTACGAGTTATTTAAGTCCTTACTGAAAAGCTGCAACAAATGGTAAGACTATTTCTGGAGCGCATCTTTACAACCCAAAGGAAATCCAAAGCACAGCCAAGCTTTGCAGTCTCATGCCACTGGATTTACTCAACAACGAGRCTATAAATTGGCTTTCTGCTGAGCAACTCAAAACCCGTCTGCTCAGCTGTAGGAGCGCAGCTCCAGGAACCTAACGCCAGGCCTGAGTCGTTCCAGCTTCTGCAGTTGTGGCCTTGGGTTTCCCTGTGAGACCTCTGGAGGCCACAGGTTGAAACCCAGTGAGCTAAACTGAAATGATAGTTGACCGGCACGATCCAAGCACACGCGGTCCCTCCTCACCATATTTAATGTTTCCTCTTCTCATGTAGTTCACTTTGAACCCAAGCACAAATCAAAGCGATCGCTGTCAGCGTGCTTTCTGTAGGCGAAAAGGGTCTTCTGCCATGTTGCCCACTGAACTGTTCGTTTTCTAAATCACTGCYCAATTTCAAACTCATTTGCCCCAGGCAGAGACCTCAAATTCACCTAAATGCTGTGCTGGGTGCAGAGGACTCCTATGAAGGTCCTCCCACGGCTGCTACRGCTGAGATGAGCTCAGCTCCCACCACCCTGAGAGGCTCCAGTCTATGAGCAGCACCCTGGTAGCACCAAAGCAGCAAAGGCAGGAGGAATGTGGCAGGGTGCTGCACTTGTGTGTCCTGGGACCCGGGGAAGGACTGGGGAGATGTCTGGGGGGAATCTGAGCAGAGGGAGGGAACTGGGGTAGGTATCAGAGCACAGAGCAATGCAGACACAGGACACCAACCTCTGAAAATCTGCTACTGCTCTGCTACTCAAGGAGCAAGCTTGCTCTGAGCGTGACCTCTCCTTCTCGAGCAACTTTTTTCCTCCTCTCTGATGGAAGGAGATACAAATGCCCACCGCAGAGCTGCGCAGCTGGCAGAGCCTTGCTGGCTCCCATACTCACCAGCTGGATGGCTATCATTAACACCGTCTTCAAAGTGAACGTCCTATCGCAGAGGTCAAACAAATCTTCCAAGCTCGGACCAAGCAGTTCTAGTACCATGGCGTTGTACTTTCCACACGGTCCAAAGTAATACACTTGGGGAAGGCCTTCAGCTGGAAGGACATGAAAAAAAGATTGAAATCAGTCAGCAGAATAACACCAATATCCTTCCTCCTGGGTGTGGATCTTGTGCCACGTAGCACCTTCATTTCTACCTCCCAAGTCTCCTTTCTGTTTGATCTCATGCAGCCACCAAAGAGGCTTCAGCAAGTCTTGCAAATGAACTGTAAGCCAAATCACAACCATGCAAACATGTCTCTGTCACTAACAGCATGAACACTGGGACTTTGAGTGGCAAGATGTGGAGCTCCACGTCTGCACTGAACACGAGGCTGCCCCAGACATGGGCTGTTCCTCATCAGAGCAGCCAGGAAGACGTTAGCCCTTCCAATAGATGATGCACRTCCAGGAAAGGGCTGCTGCTTCCATCAGGACAAATCAGACCGGCCAACACAGGGCTGAACTCACCGTGAGACCAACTGCAAATACTTCTAATCGGCGTCAGGCACCCAGCAGCCAGGAACCCCCAGCTGGCTGGGGCTCACACTTTGCTTTGCAATGCACTTTCATGCAACGTCTCATAAGCAGAACTCAATGGAAGGATCTGCACTTTGAAATACACAGGGTTGTGTCYGGTGTCAGGTTGGCACCTTCACTTTGAAAGCACAAGGGTGCCATGTCCCACTRCTCCATTTAGAGATGACTACAGGGAGCTCTGCCATGGGCACAACCTGTTTTCCCAGAACCGAGTCAAACTGAGGTCCATAAATTATATAGTACAAGTGATTATACACATTATGGTACGTTTTAAGTAACTGTACGCAAATATACATATTTACATAAAACAACAATATTAAAGAGAGCAAAAAGAAATTGCAAGCTATCAAAGCCTAGCATTAAGTCCCTCGTCTCACTAATTTTTTGCACTTATATCGTGACGTGYTCATGCAGCCTAGCCTGACACGGGCAAAGGCTGCCAAACCAGAACCACCAAGGCCTCGAGCGTGTCAGAAACGTCACGGCTTTAAGCCCTGCTTTAGCTTCAGGAAAGCTGCTTAATCTGCCTGCGGGCACTCAGCAACTTGCCAACGATGCAATAAACGCTGCACCGAGATTACTAAAGCTTAAGAGTTACACGAGGAATATTCGTATAAATTACTCAAAAAGACCAAAATRCAGCTTGACAAAGATTATCCTAGGATAGGTTTAATCTTGTTAAGTCACAMGCTCAGGAAACCACAGTAAGCATCAATCACCAGGATGCACTAATGAGGTATTACCGAGTACCGCGGGAATTCCCAGCCTAACGCCCCAAACCAGGTAGCCACGAGCACAGAACCCCAAAACAGAGAGGTTCATTAAAAACGTCCTGGTACCAAGCTCATTATCTCCATTAAACAAACACTCCTGGAATAGCATATGAAATTTTAAAAATGAGATCACTATTAAATCAAGATATATATAATTCTTATCGTGATTCCTTTGGTAGGATAACAGGCTTGGGAAGTGCAAATTGGGAAGGAACCCACTCAAACCACAGCGCAAGTGAGGCGCTTTGGTCAGCGAAGGCACCTTGCCACCCGTGGAAAAGCCAAGGGAGGCACCTCTGGAGAGCCCACCAGTTCCCGACTGGGTGACGAGATAAAGACAGGAGAGATCCAAGGAAAATACATCCTTGTGCCCTCAAACACGAGTCACCAGCAAGTCTCTCTCTAGGAGAGAGACTAGGAGACTCCTAGAGAGTCTCCCAGTCTAGGAGACTTCTCTTTAGGAAGYGGTGAAGCTTCCTAAAGGGTCCTTGGGAGGTCCCACTGAATGTAACTCCCTAGAGAACCACGTCACAGCCTTCAGAAATGCCGTGGCTGCACCCGTAAACACCCAGAAAAACACTTCCAACGAGAACAGTGTTTGAGGAGAAGGTTTCCTTTGTCTAGGCACTCAAACRTGAGGCTTTAATGCAAGCATTTGTGTTGGCAGATACCGATAGGGTTAAAGGAAGCCACTGTCCTGTGAAACACTGAAACATCTTTTTGTTCTTAGACGAGCAGCTCTGGATTCAAAGTGCAGAGSATGAAAAGCCACGGGCAGAGCGGAGTCTCTTCTCGAGGATACAAAGGTACAACTCAGTGCTTAAACACAAACCATGAGCAGTTYAATGAGATTTATGAGTGGAATAACATCTCAACAAGGAACCTCTCTGTGGCTTTAAACATAAGGCCAAAATATTCAGGTGAGAAAGGAAATGTGTGACATGTGCAGATGTCCCTTGGAGAAAAAGCAGCCTGTAGAGCTGGAGCTACTGCAAGCAGTCGCCTAGCCAAGCGGTTTGGCTCAGTCGTGTCTAAAAGCCCCTGCTCCACCCTTACATTGGCGAGAAGTTTATCAATCCAATAAACACAGTGATCGCCGTTCTGGAATCCGCAGGCAAATCCTGCTATTTCAGCAGTCTAACGCCTTGGAAACAAATCAAGCCGAGCCCAGCAAAAACCCAGCCGAGCRTTTCAGAGATTAAAGCGCGGTGGCTGCAACGAGCGCCGCGTCGGACACCAAAGCCCCARACTCCGACTTTGCTCCCGCCACACTCCCCCCAGCCATGCCACTCGGACCCCAGCTGGCCCAMGATGCTGAAGACCCAACGCTCCTGCAGGCTGCCACCAAAAGGGACCAGCCCGTCCTCACCCTGCTGCTCCTGGCTCTCGTGACCCAGCAGCGAGTTGGATCACGCAACAAACCCGGAGAAGCTCCAGCCAGCCCAATACAAGCAAGGGAAGAGTAACTAAGAGAAAGACCACCCCTCTTGGAGAGACCTTCATGTCAACTGGATTAACATCACAAACACCTTCCAGCAAATTTCCCTTGCAACATGAAGCATCCTGGAAGATTCAGGATGGACTGGCTTAAGCAACAGCTCTAAAAGCTTGTCAGGCACCCAGCACGCTCCAGCAAGCCCCGTTAGTCCAGACAGCAGATGTCCGGATCATATGGGCAGCCCAACACCAGGCCCAGACGTGACATGGCGAATGGYGGGGAGAGACGCCAGCCGAGGGCTCTGTACTCCAGGGAAATCTTCCTTTTTGCGACATCTGCCCCACAATGGAAGGCAGCAAGAGTGGAAACCATCTGCTGCAGCAGAGAGGGTGCGCCGACGCTGTCAGAAACTATGAATAAACCCACGGCAAGCAGCCCAATGTGCTGCATCTCCATACATCAAATCCACAGGACAGTGTCCTGCTTTGCGAGAAGAGGAATGATAATATTAGCTTCTGCATCAGCAGCTTTTGCCCCTGTGGGCCACTGTTTTACCCTGCCCTTAGAYGTGGCATTGCCAAGTAGCAAGGAGCTGCTGTCTTCGATTTCGAGACGAAATACAGCTTGTTTTACTCGGATTTCCCCTCTCGTGACGCACACCTCAAAGCTGACAACTCCACTGCTGCAGGAGACGCTCCTGAGACATCCCAAAGGCGAGACCTGAAGACGAAGGAAGGAGGAAGCTCTGCAATTCCAAGCAAACGGCTGGTGCTCCGAGAGCGTCGAGAAGCGTCCGCAGTGCGAGCGCATCGCGAGACGGCGCCGGCGCACGGCGGGAAATTCGCTGCGGTCTAGAAGGCGCGCTCACGAATAGCATGCAGATTGCCACAAAGCTCCCCATTCTGAGCAGAAAGGTTCGTTTTTCACAAGTCCCAGAACACAAAATTACACGATAAGCAGCATAAATAGCAGCGGCGTAAGTGCTGAATATTTATAGCGAAAATTAAACATGTTTCAAACAAATTAAATAAATTGCTTTAGAGTAGTCAACCCATTTAAGCTGATTACACTAATGAGGATCTACCCTTCTCTTAATTTTCAAATCAGAACTAAATCCTGGCTGAAACAGAAGCACTGCCATCGACATCAACTGGGCCGAGATCTCATCTTTCAGCCTCTTAAAACATGCCCTGAGATCCCAGATTTTAGATTTGGGCCAATATATTGGTTAAGGGGGTACATCTATGAGTCACATTTCGGCTGAAATTACCAAGGTTCATTGTGACCTTCCAGTCCAGGAAGAGTCTACTATAAAACAGCAGGAGAGGAGAAAGAGGAAGATTACTATTATTAGATTATTATTATAAAGGAAAATTTAATATTTTTAATGAAGCTTTTCTAGTTCTTCACTAGGTTCCCCCAAGCCACCTTTTTCCCCAGTACTGTCTGCACAGTTTTTGTATCTCACTCTTCAAGTTCAACCACTAAAAGTAAATCTGTAAGGGCACCAAGAGCAGGCACCCTTTTACCCTGACCCACCGCAGCGGAGAGCAATCCATGGCGAGGAGGGAAAGGGACCCACGTCCTGGGGGCCTAGGAGAAGGAAGTCAACATATTCTTCCCAAAATAGGGTATTTTGCATTTAGGCTTGTCATATTTAGCTTCAGCTTCAGGGATGTGGTGTGGGAAGCTTTGGGTCTTCACCAAAGAAAAGGTTAGGGCAGCCTACGCTGAGCCTAAGGTGCGTTGTAAGAGTCTCCCAAAATACACGACGTAGCTCAGTGACCTCACTTGAGAGACAGATTCAATACATCTCCAGAGGCTGTTGTGCCATCAGTTGCTTAATAAGGTTTCTTTGCAGGAAGGTCACCCAGTTATAACAGGTTATCATCCTCATTGCATTACGTTTTCCTTGCTCCTGCATCGTCGCTGGGACGCGTCACTGCCCGGAGCTCGCACAAGAGCCAGCCTGGAGGAGCTGCTGGTTTGCTGGTAAAGGCTTTCATTAACAGGGGATGCCACAGTAGTTAGACAAAATGTTTGGAGCATGGTCCTGTCACCTGAAAAGCTGCCATCAAAGGGACCTGTCATGTGAGGAGCATCTCCAACTCAATAAGGAGGCTGCTGTTCCTCTTTGGAGGAGCTGATTAAGTGTTTGGCATGTCAGCCATCACCAGTCACCTACTACAAGCCCAATCAAGACCTCTTAATCTGTTTGGGAAAGTTAACACACACTAATGTGTTTTAATTACAATTTTCCTTTCAACATCCTTCACTCCCTTTAGCTACGACCTTAAGCAGAGGA